GGCGTGGAACGCGAGATCATTTGGCCCGAGCCCGCGCCCTCGTGGCAGCAACCCGCCGTGTGTATCTGGGCCTCCCAGGTGGGGTCGAGGCAAATGGTGTTGGAGGATCGCGCCGCATTGCCGACGCATCGCAGATGGCGCCGATACGTCGCCGACGTCGCCGATGCATCGGATATGCATCGGTGATGCATCGACGATGCTCGGCGGCGAGCCCACGGGGGAATGGAGACGGGGCGAGCCTTTTCAGAACGCTGGGTTTTCCCCGGCTTTTACGGAAATTTTCGGAACCTTCCCTGAGTCACGGATCGTTTTTCAGAAGGCCGGAACGGTTTTGAGAATTCCAGCCACCTTTGAGATTTTTTTTTTTTTTTTTTTTTTTTATATATAAATCATCATTTCCACCCCGCGCTCGCCGCCGAAATGCGGTCCATCCTCCGACCCCATCTATATTCGACCCACATAATAAAGATGAACGAGTTTCCAAGGGTACCTTTGCGGCCCGTCCTTGGCCGTTCCCGCTGGCCGCGCCCCGCTCGCAAAGTGCCGACATGGCCTTCCAAGGCCCTTGTGTCCTTCTCTTTCCGATACGGGTTGACCGTAATCTGATTTCATACGGGAGGCCTCCTGCGGAGACTCGAGTACATGTGCGCGTCGCGCCTCGCGGCTTGGACGTGGAGCGTGAGGCCGGGCGGGCGGGGGGGGGGGGTCCCGAACCCGCGCCGTCGTGGCAGCAACCTGCCGTGTCAGGGCGCCCGGTTGGGCAGTTCTATCTCCAAGAGCCGCCTTGTCGACCAGACAGCACATCCAAGCAGGATCACGACGGGTTGTTGCCACGGCGGCGCGGGCTCGGGCCGCCCGGCCTCACGCTCCAACCCCAGGCCGCCAGGCGCGGACACCTTCGCCCCCTCGCTGTAGGCCTCCCATATGGGGTCGAAGTCGATGGGGTCGGAGGATCGCGTCGCATCGTCGATGTATCACTGATATATTGTCGATGCATCGGCAGTTCATCCTCCAAGAGCCGCCCTTTTGTGCGGACAGCACAGCCGAGCAGGATCGCAAGGATGAGAAGCTTTCCAGGGGCATCGAGGGCACTGTCAAAACGCTAATCTAAGGAGCTCTCGGTTCGGAAGGGGCTCCAGGCTCCTGAGGTCATTCGATGGCTGTTCCTTTAGCCCTCTTCGTGCACGCAGGCGCCTTTTGACGCCACAAAGGGGCTTCGTTCCTTATTTCGGCAGCCCGACTGTGCCCTTTGCACCCTTGTTTCCCAGCCCACCCTGAGCCTTGGCCATGGGCCATCGGCTTCCAACTTGGGCTACGATTTGGGCGCCCAAGGGCCTTGCGTCCTGGCTGGCACACCTTTCGGATCCGGTCGCACTGTAGCTGCCCCGAGGTCCACGTCGCGGAAGAAACCACAACAGTGGCGCGAAGTCGTCAGGACGGGGGCCTCCGACTTCGCCTCTTGGTAGCATTCTCCAGGTTGGATTGATCCGTGAGTGCGCGAGGACGCGACACCAGGGCGAGGGCGTGACGCCAGAGTCTGAGCGTAGGCCTACTCCTCTCCGTTGGGTTGGCCAGGATTCTCATTCTCGCCAGCACGTGGAGCCGGAGTGCTGGTGCGCTGATGGCGCCGCGACCTCCGCCTTGGCTCGCAGACCCCCTACCCTTCCCCAGATGAGCAGCACAAAATTAGCCTCGCGAAGGACCCAACCATATGCACTTGTGAGTACCGCAATTGTGAATATCTTCTTCGGTGGCGCTCCCTATGGGGCCACGAACCGTATGAGGGGTGCGCCGAATTGTGTGGCGGGGTGCTCAGCACGAACGAGGACGATAGGTCAAATCACGAGAGATTGAGCGCGGGTGAGTCTGAGCGCGGGTGAGTCTGAGTATGACTGAGTCTGCGCGCGAGTGAGTATATTTGCATGAATGCGAGCATGGCCACGCCTGGTATGTGTATATAGATATACACATTCGAATGTGAATGGTTCACGTATGCTTGACCCTGAGGACTCGTGGCACTGAGTGTGGCCGCCGCGGAAAACTTCCGTCGGAACCCCGACAGTAGCGCCCGCACGCCGCGACGCCCATGTCGGCGTGTTCCTCACGAGGATCGCGCCCGCTTCCTTCCCACTTTGTTTCTCCCTGTTTGCCTGTGCGCGCCCATGTCCAAGGCTGCGGGCGCGGCGCCGCACGGAGTCCCCGCGGCGCGCGTTGGTCGCCCCGGTGGGGTCCCGGCGACGCGCGCGGGTCGTCCGCTGCGCGGAGCAGAGAGAGCGAGCTGGCTGGCTGATAGCGGCAACGTTGCGGCCGCTGGGCAGAGCGACGACGGGGGCGAACGAGGGCTTGCGCAGAGCGCAGCGCAGAATTCCTGCGACGCGCGCTGGTATCCCCGAGAGGGTCCAACCGACGCGCGCGGGTCGCCCGCGTCGCGAGGACAAACACTCAGACCGTCGAGAGACGGCGAGGCTCGGGCGAGCCGCTCCTCAGGTCAAGCCTCGCGGATAAACTCGGTGAAGCTCAGCTCTGTGGCGAGGGCCGCCGCTTCCCTCCCGCACCGTTTCGTGCGCGCGGCAAACTGCTCCAGCTGCTTCTGCAAACCTTCTGGCGGCCCTGCCAGGACAATGTCGACGCTGGGGTCACGAAGCGTGTGAGGGGTGTGCCAAGATGGGGCGGCGGGAGGCGACGCCGTGCGAGCTGCGCCAGTGATACCTTGGGTGGAGCCCCTTGTGGGGCCACGAAACGTGTGAAAGGGTGTGCCAAAATGGGGCGGCGACGCCATGCGAGCTGCGCCACTGGGACCTGAGGTAGAGCTCCCTATGGGGCCACGAAGCGTGCGAGGGGTGTGGCGCCACGCGAGCTGCGCCACTGGGACCTTGGGTGGATTTCCCTATTGGGCCAGGGGTGTGCCCAAATGGGGCGGCGGCGCCATGCGAACTGCGCCACTGGGACCTTCGGTGGAGCTCCTTGTGGGGCCACGAAACGTGTGAGTGGTGTGCCAAAATGGGGCGGCGGCGCCATGCGAGCTGCGTCACTGGGACCTTAGGTGGAGCTCCCTACGGGGCCACGAGCCGTGTGAGGGGTGCCAAAATGGGGCGGCGGCGCCATGCGAGCTACGCCACTGGGACCTTAGGTGGGGCTCCCTATGGGGCCGCGACGGGTGCGAGGGGTGTACCGAAACAAAACATGATGAAGGCAGGGGCAAGGATTGGGAAAAGGGAGGAGGGGGAGGGGGAGGAGGAGGAGGAGAGAAGGAGAGGAAGAAGGAGAGAGAGGAAGAGGAGAGGAGGAGGGGGGGGGGGGAGGGAAGGGAGGAGGAGGAGGCGGAGGAGGAGGAGGAGGAGGCGGAGGAGGAGGAGGAGGAGGAGAGGACGGAGGAGAAGGAGGAGGAGGAGGAGGAGGAGTAGGAGGAGGAGGGAGGAGGAGGAGGAGGAGGGGAGAGAGGAGGAGGAGGAGGAGGAGGAGGAGGCGGAGGAGGAGGAGGAGAGGAGGAGGAGGAGAGGAGGAGGAGGAGGAGGAGGAGTGAGGAGGAGGAGGAGGAGGATGGAGGAGGAGGAGGAGGAGGGGAGGAGAGGAGGAGGAGGAGGGGAGGAGGAGGAGGAGGAGGAGGAGGAGGAGGAGGAGGAGGGAGGAGGGAGGAGAGGAAGAGGAGGAGAGGAGGAGGAGGAGGAGGAGGAGGGGAGGAGAAGCAGGAGCAGGAGAGGAGGAGGAGGAGGAGGAGGAGGAGGAGGAGGAGGAGGAGGAGGGAGGCGGAGAGGGAGGAGGAGGAGGAGGAGGAGGAGGAGGAGGAGGAGGAAGGAGGAGGAGGAGGAGGGGAGGAGAGGAGGATGAGGAGGAGGCAGGAGGAGGAGGAGGAGGGAGGAGGAGGAGGAGGAGGAGGCGGAGGAGGGGAGGAGGAGGAGGAGGAGGAGGAGGAGGAGGAGGAGGAGGAGGAGGAGGAGGAGGAGGAGCAGGAGGAGCAGGAGGAGAGGAGGAGCAGGAGGAGGGAGGAGGAGGAGGAGGAGGAGAGGGAGGAGGAGGAGGAGGAGGAGGAGGAGGAGGAGGAGAGGCGAGGAGGAGGAGGGAGGGACGCGCGGCGCTGTCTTTTCAAAACGAGGACCCAATCACAGGATGGTTGGGGAAAACAGGGCCGTCTGCGCCGACATTGGCCGGAAAGCTGCTGGCGCAAGGTTGCGCGTAAGCGCCCGCGTGCCGCGATGGCGGCCCGCGCAAGCTATCGCGTAAGGTTGCTATGCCATCTCGCGTAAGGCCCGTTTCTTGTCGTCGCTAAGATGACCCTGGCCCTCCTCCCGAAGGGTTTCGAGGTCGAACGAGCTCCCGAGCTTGCTAGAAAACTCTTGGGCTCCAGCTCCTCCCTTGGGGGACCACATGCAAACCCTATCCCTGCCTCCCTGTCAGAAATTGTAGGGGGTAGGGGTCGGGTTCGCATGTGGCCCCCTAGAGGGGGGGTGGGATCAGGAGAGAAAACGACGTACACGTAGGTGGATTCACGTTGGGTTCAAAAGTACGCATTGCGTGCACGGTCGTGTCACGAGGCTGGTCTCGTGGACCGGGGGGCCGTATTCACGTGCGCGGTTGGGCGCGTACGTCTTTTCTGGGCTCTGGGGGTGGGTCGGACGGGGCTGGGACGAGGGTAAGCCCGTTCCAGAGCGTTCCAGAACGGACTCAGAGCGTTCCGGAACGCTCTGAGAAGGCCGCGGCGCCCGCCAGAGCCGCCGGATTCCCGATTTGTCCTCTCCCGATGTTTGTCTTCGTCCCGGCTTTGTCGCAGGGGAGGGGTGGTGGGACGAGGGCGAGAGGGAGGAGGGCGAGGGGGAGGAGGGCGAGGGGGAGGGCGAGGGGGGGGAGGAGGGCGAGGGGGAGCAGGGCGGGGGGGAGGGCGAGGGGCAGGGCGAGGGAGGAGGGCGGGGGGCGGGAGGAGGGCGAGGGGGGTCCGCGCCGCTATGCACCGCCCGCCTCCCTGCCTGCGACGGCGCGCCCGTTCTTCCTCCTCCCCGCGGGAGGCTGGGCGCAGATCGTGGGCGGCGGCTTCCCGAGACCTGCGGGTGCGCCCGCCTCTCGACTCCCCCCGCCTCAGAGGAGGAAAAGGTTCCCGTGCTGCCACCGGTCGCCCGGTCCCCCTTTTTGTTCGGCCTCCCGGAAGGCCCGCGTCGCCGCCGCTGGATTCGCTTCGAAATTCTGGTCAGAGCGCACCCTGGGAGAGGTCTGGAGAGTAGCGGTATCGGTACCTTTTGATCTCCCCACCGCCACTCCTCTGGGAGGGGCTTTCCTCCTCCTCCGCCTCCTGGGAGGCCCTTCGAAATCCTGGTCAGAACGCACCCTGGGAGAGGACTGGGGAGCAGCGGTATCGACACCTTTTGATCTCCCCACCGACACTTTCTGGGAGGGACTCTCCTCCGCCGCCGCCTCTTGCCTCCTCCCCGCACCCCCCCCCCGCCTCCTCCGCCTGCTGCCTTCCCCGTCTCCTCCTCCCTGCTCTGCCTCCTCCTCCTCGTCCACCTCCTCCTCCGCCTTCTTCTCGTCTTCCTTCGTGATAATATATGTATGTATGTATGTATGTATATATACATATATCTATATATGTATGTGTATATAAATGTATATATACATATACATATAGGTGTACACAGGTAGAGTTGTTCTTTCACAGTTCTATGTTTTCATAGTCTGGGACCCTGCGACACCCCCCTAGACGGGACCCCTCGGGATCCTTGGCCCCGGATGCCTTGCATACGGTCCACTGTGCTTTCTGGGGGTCCTGAAGCCCCTGCTGGGCCTAGGCGACGGGACCAAATCGGTCAGGAGGGCGGCCGGACGGCCCCGCGAGAGCCCCAAGGGGGCCCCAGACACCCACCCGAAGACGACCCAAAGAAGACCTCCAAGAGACACTCGAAACGCAATGAGCATGGTTTTCTTATGTTTTTTGCCTGATTTTGGGAATGCTCACTTCTTCGGTTTTCTGGGCGTCCCAGACCTGCCCAGGAGGCCAGAGCGTCGCCCCAAGTTTAAAGCAAGAGGGCTTCCAGGCAGTCCAAGAGGAACCCCAAGATGGCCCAAGTCGGGCCGCCCAACAGGGCCCCAGGACGGCCCGAAGAGAGCCCCATGACGGCCCAAGATGGCCCCAAGATGCCTCCCGACTCATTCCAAATCGTGACCCGGTCGTTCAGGGAGACCGCGGTTAGAAGCAGGGCGGCCCAGGGAAGCCCCCAGGGCCCCCCCGAAGGAACCCATGAGGCTTCCAGAAGGCCCCAACAAGCCCTTGAAAGCCTTCGTGAGACTTCCAAGAGGTTCTCCTAGGATGAGCCTCCACAAAAAGAGCGGCTGATGGTGGCGAATTCGAAGGGTAGGACGAGAATGAGGATGAGGAAGAGGAAGAGGAAACATGAGGGAAGGACAACGAAGAGCATTCTTACAACGACGATGCCAGTCGGGGACGCAGCCTAATACTGCCTAGCCTGTGTGTTCCTCCTCCTTGTCCTCCTCTTCCTCGTTCCTCCCCCCCATGCCCAGTTTGAGTCCAGAGCGATCGTGATTTTGCCTCTGCTACGCTCGGCGTTGCGATCGGCTGTCGTTGTGTTTTCTATCAGCGGTTGGACGCCGCAAGGGCTTCGCACACAATGCATGTGGTCGAGAGTTGCTGGCGCTGCGAGTGGTGGTGAATTCTGTCCGATTCGTTCCCCTCCGCTTCCCTCCTGCTTCTCCCCCAAAAATGTTCCTTTATACTGTATTGCCTTCCTGCCTGCATGCCAAACCTGAAGGACCAAAGTGTATGTCGCGAAGCGACAATGCAGTCTTGTACATCTATATAAATACACTAAAAACACAATGGCCCCTCCTCGTGTGACCACCAGACGTGCTGGCGGGGCGGTCCAGGCGTTTCGCCCAGAGACTTCCTTACCATGCGTTGGAGGGGCTTTACGGTCGGTTCCGCCGACCCTGAAGGGGGATCTGGAGCCCCCAGGAAGGCCGCGAGGGAGCCGAGGAGCGCACGACGTCAGGCCGCTGACGATCCAAGCACGACTTGAGAAGCACCCTGAGGCTGGAGCGCCGTGCTTGGGTCGCGGATCGGAGGCCCTTTGAATGCACCCGGGAGTCTCCTGTGGAGGTCGCTTGGGGGCCTCTTGGGGCCTGCTGGGAGCCTCTTTGCTGCGGTTGCTGCCTCTCTGCTCACGGCACGCGATTCAGCCGGCGCCCCCAGAGCCAAGAACGAACGACGATGAGCAACAGCAGCAGCAGCAGGAGCAGGACCGGCCTCAGCACAGTCTCTCGACCCCCGCTGCTCTTCCTTCTCTTTTATCCTCCTCCTCCTGCTCCTGCTCCTCGACCCTCTCATATCCTTGATCCTCGTCCTAGATCCTCCTTTCCTTCCCCCCTCTCGCGTCGCGCTCTAGACCCCGGCCATCCACGATCCTCCTCCTCCGCCTCCTCCTCCTCCAACTTGGCTGTAGCCCTCCTCCTCCTTCTCCTCCTCCTCCTCCTCTTCCTCCTCCTCCTCGAGCCGAAATCAAACACTACACGAAGCCGAACGGCCACTTGCTGCACGACAGCCACCTGAAGGTCCCGCGGGTGGCGAAGGACGTGCCCCAACGACGTGCCTGCGGCGGCCGCCGCGGACGACTCCGCTCAGGGATACTGCCGCTCCTCCTCCTCCTCGGTCCTCGCCGCTCGCCCCACCGCTCCTCGCCCTTCGCCCCCGCCCCTCGCCCCCACTCGGGTATATATTGTTGCCCCTCGCCCCCGCTCCTCGCCACACGCCCCGCCCCTCCTCGCCCTCGGCCGACCGCCGCTCCTCGGCCGACCGCCGCTCCTCGGCCGACCGCCGCTCCTCGGCCGCGCCGCGCCCGCTCCGAGGCGTCTCCCAGCAGCAGGTCGTGACCTACGGGCGCCCCGCCCCTCCCCGGCCGGCGGCCGCTGGGGCAGAGGGAGGAGGGAGGAGAAGGGAGGGAGGAGGGAGGAGGGAGGAGGGAGGAGAAGGGAGGGAGGAGGAGGGAGGGAAAACGGGAGTCGTTGGAAGAGGAGGGAGGAGGGCTCAAGGCAAGGGTGCTGGCCAGGGCTCCCACACTGTGAAGCTGCTCTGCCGTGCCCCCGAGTGCGTCCTGGTGTGCAGGGGGGGGGGCTTGTAGTTTGTGTTCGATGTTGCTTCGTGCTGTAGGGAGGGGTGGGAGGTGGCGGAGGAGGAGGAGGAGGAGAAGGAGGAGAAGGAGGAGGAGGAGGAGGAGTGGCCAGAGGAGGAGGAGGAGGAGGAGGAGGAGGAGGAGGAGGAGGAGGAGGAGGAGGAGGAGGAGGAGAGGGCGTGGGAGGAACAGAGTCCACCCAAGGTGCGTCAACGATGTTGCATGACGCCCTCTGGTCCAAGTGCCCTCAGACGTCCCTGGCCTCCGTTTCCCCTCCAAGAAGTGCCCCCCTTGAAAGATCAACGCTCTATGGGCCTGCCGTTCAGGCGGGAGCCCCGTCTTGGAATGGACTTGCATGCCTTGCATCCTCTCTTCCGTCCTCCTTCCAGCGAGTAACACGGGATGCGCAAAGGAAAGATCGTGCGGTTCAAGGAGGGGTCTAGCGATCTCTCCGTTTTTGCAGGTTTTTTGTCATGGAAAGGGCGGGGGCCAAGGGTGCTCTTTCAGTCGGTTACGTAGCCTGTCCCTGGTGCCAATTTCGCGTAAGGCCGGCTGATTTCCGCCCTCCATGCGTAAATCATATTCCAATGTTGTTTTCCCTCAAAAACTGCGTTTCGTGCGTGCCCTCCCTTTTCTCGGATTCTCGTTGCCATTTGGGGCTCGCAGACTCTCGCGTTCCTTTGTAAAAAAGAGGGCGCAGAGCGTTTCTTGCAGAATCCCCACTAAATAGTGAGGTTCGGAGACCTAATCATTTCACACAAGATGGGCGAAGGTTGATGGTTTTGGGTGCCCGCTCGAGGACGGCACGCCCTGTGCGCAGGTTTCTCGAGGATGTCTCGAGCACCGCGCTTGTTTTGCAGAAGGATTTGTTTGTTGTTTTGCGTGCCCGCTAGAGGATGGCGTGCCTTGCGTGCCGAATATCTGAGGACGTCCCGAGCGAGACGCTTGCGTTGCTGCGCTTGATAGGCCTGAGTGCCCCACGATGCCCAGGTGGTTTCGTCGATGCATTGGCGATGCGGCTCGATGCGGCTCGATGCGGAGCTCGATTTTCGCCACGCCGACGGCGGCGATTAGTCGCCGACGCATCGCCGATACATCGGCGATACATCGGCGATATGCGATGCGGCCCGACCCTCCGACCCCATCTACTCGGACTCCATCTAAGATCTAAGAGGCCTCTGATAGTGGAGCCAGCTTGGATGTGGTCGATCGTAAAGGGGCGGGGGCCCAGTTGGCGCCCCCCTTCAGAAGGACAAAATTGGCCCAACACCTGAATCACATTACTCATTTTGGCCTTCTCGCCGAGGTCATCTTGGACGCTGCAACGCCTCGCGGACCCCCCGCCCATGGGGGAGGGTGTGGGGGGAAGGGTACACCCTTCCCTGCAAGGGACGGGGCTCCAAGAGGAAACCCGCTAAACCATTCACGCCCTAGAGGTCTTGTGGGATCATGCGCGCTCTTTCTTTTTTTTTTTCTCTCTCTCTCTCTCTCTATATGTATATATAACTAAGTGTGGTGTCCTTGTTTTTTTTGATGTATCGCTCTCTCTCTCTCTCGTTCTCTGCTGAAGTATCGCCAGTTTTCGCCCGAAGTGGATGCCACCGCATCCAGCTCGTTTGATTCCACGTCTGTCCTTACGACTTCCTCTTCAGACGGCATCACTGGATCGAACGTGTCAGCTTCCCCTGTTCCATCTAGACAGTTTTACCGTTTCCTTCCCGCTGATTCTTTTTCGGCTAGCGAGTGGAATAATCTTGCGACCTTCGCGGCGATCGGTGGCCGCGAGAGGCTCGCATGTAACCGATTTCGCAAAAGCACGGGCCCTTGCCCGACCGCATCATATCGTGCGTGTTGCCAACATATCCGTCGGCATGTCGGAGACGTGTAGTCTGTTCACCAGACCAGAGCTTTGAACTTGCCTAGAGGCCATTTCTTTATTGCTTGGGGCATGACGGGCGGCATGGCCCCCGCCCACCTCCCTATGACGTTATGACGTAACGCTCCCCCCCCATTGCGCTCCGGGCACTTCCGCCGTGCGTATTGGGATCCGCGTAGGTGTCCGCGTAGGAATCCGCATAGGAGTCTGGTCCGCAGTCGTGGTCGTCGACGTCGTCGTCGTCGTCGTTGTCGCTCGTGGCTCGTGGCTCGTGGCTCGTGGCTCGTCGCTCGTCGCTCATCGTCGTCGTGCGCGCGGACGCGGCTGCAGCCCGTTTTTTTATTCCGGGCCGATGACGGCAATCATCTGGGGGGGGTGGAAGGGGTCGATGACGTCACGCTTCGCGCCGGCTGCGTTTGCCTGTGTAATTACACCACGGCGCATGTGTGCACCACAGCAACCGTGTGCAACACAGCACCACCTGTTGTATGTAGACTGTTAGAAGGAATCATCATGACAAAATGGAACGTTTGTGGATTCCACCGGAAGCACAGAAAATAATCCTTATGGACAAGGGAGCGCCAGGGAATTCTACGAGTCCCTCCGAGTTCGCCCGCATCACCGTAACTCCTCCCATCTGTGTCCAGGAGGCTCCAGCTAAATCGGCCGTCCGAAAACCAAGTGGGCCGAGTTGCGCACGTGTGTTGTAACGCCAACCCGCACGACAGGGGGTAAGGAGGAGGAGGTGGATGAGGAGGAGGAGGAAGAAGAGAACAAGGAGGAGGAAGAGGAGGTGGTGGAAGTGGAGGAGAAGGGAAAAGGGAAAAACGTCGCATTCGATTCTCCGCACTTTCCTGGCGTGGCGCTTCCGCAGCAGATCCTCACGTACAGGCTCCTTCTACCTGTCCTATGCACGCAGGCACTGTGGTGTACAATAGCGCTGCGTTGCACGCGGATGCTGTGGTGTAGACAGGCGCTGTGGCGTGCACAGGCGCCGCGGTGCACGCAAGCATTGTGGTGCACACAGGCGCTGTGTTGCACATGGTTGCTTCCGGTGTGCGCATGTACACAAGCGCTGTACTGTGCGCAAGCACTGCAGTGTACACAGGCGCTGCGTTGCACACGGTTGTTGCGATGTACGCAGGCGCTGTGGTGTACGCGCGCTGTGGTGCACGCGAGCGTTGTGGTGTAAACAGGCGCAGGAGGGCAGATCGCCACCTACATGCTGCTCGTGTCGTCGTTGTCGTCGTCGTGGCTTGTCGCTCGTCGCGTCGTGCGCGCGGGCGCGGCTGTGGTGCCAGAGCCACACGGCGGGGAGGGGGGGCGTTACGTCATAGCCCCTTCCCGCCCCCTCCCTCATGACGCCCGTCATCGCCGAACATAAAGAAACGCTCTCCTAGCATATACATGGCTTCTTGCTCCTGCGCAGGCGAGTCAATTACAACTATCATCTCCTTCCTTTCGATTTTCCGGATCATGCATGCGCTGAGCTGCATCGATATGATGGCTTCGATCGTTACCGCGCAGCCCCGACTACGATGCAAGATGTCCTGCCGCTGCCGTCTTATGCCATGTCTCTTCTGATGAGAGGTTGGAATTTCATGCGAGCAGCAGAAGGCAGGCATCGTGTCGACGGTAATTGGCGCCCAGGGGCCCCGTTCATGGCAATCTCTCCGACGCTCGCATTGGGGTCTGGCCCCACTTTTCCAGGGCGCCCCAGCTCGCCGCGATGCGTTGCGGGGCGAGGTCCATCGTCTACCCAGTCTTGATCGTTCGCGCGCCAATCGCAGGAGGAGGAGGAGGAGGAGGAGGAGGAGGAGGAGGAGGAGGAGGAGGAGGAGGAGGAGGAGGAGGAGGAGGAGGAGGAGGAGGGGAAGTGATCCTGCTCTTCTGGGGGATTCTGTTACCAGGGGCCAGTCTTGGGTCTTGGGCCCTGCGCTCTTCTGCTGCCCCTCGCGCGGCGTCCGGCAGCGGCCCCCTCGCGGCGCCGTCTCGTCTACGTCGCGCAGAGACGGCGCGGCGGCATGTTTCGTTTATGGGTGCAGTGGAGGCCCACGCCAAGAAGCACCCTGCTTGCCTCCAGGGTGCCCTGGGTTCCTTGGGTTTCGATGGTTTAGCGGCTGAGAGCGCGACGATCCCACACCAGAAGTCCATGGACGTTCTGGGGTCTCAGGGTCGGGTTTCTCGTGGCAGGTGTCTCGTGGGCTGGCCTCCACTGGCAGCTCAGCTGAGCACCAGGCAAGGGTGGCTGGCGCGACCATGCTCTCCCAGTGGGGGCAGCGCCCCTCGATCGGTTGGCTGGCGTGGCACATCTTTCCAGGGAGAACTCTTGGTGCTCGCGGGTTGGATGTTGATTGGCTGGAATCTTCCACATATTCTGCAGTGGACGTTGGTTGGTGCTTCGTTCGCGTGGAAACAACATCCTTCCAGGGAGAACTATTGGAGCCGAAAGGGGCGCATGCGGAGCCGCCCCACTCGCTCGCCAGCAGAATCGATGCATCGGGCGTTGGCGGCGATTCGGTCATGGAGGGCGAGGAGGAGGGACGCTTGCCTGGGAGCTCCGCGTTGAAGAAGGATGCTTGCCTGGGAGCTTTGCGTTGAAGACGGACGCTTTCCTGGGAGCTCTGCGTTGAAGAAGGATGTTTGCCTGGGAGCTCCGCGTTGAAGACGGACGCTTGCCTGGGAGCTCCGCGTTGAAGACGGATGTTTTGGTGGGAACTCTGCGTTGTGACGCCGCCCCTCGCCCGTCCTCTCCGACGATTGGAGATCGGCGCGCGGGCCTGGACGGGCCGCGCGAGCAGGCGCGCAGTCTGCAGCGCAGACGCTTGGGACAGCATGAGGCGCTTCTGAATGACTTCGAGGTGGAAGATGCTCCTCCCCCTCTCCTTCTCC